CCACCTTTGCAAACGTGCCCAATAAAAACTTCTGTCTACTGGACAACCGAACCCGTGTCTGTCGTTTTCTGACACATGGAAAATAATGTACTCAGCTGGAATTATCTGATCTTTCCATTCAAATGGAACCCAATTTGGTACTGGGGCTGGCGTATCTTCTCCTTTGTCCAGCCCATCTCTTTCTGGGACTGAGCCACTGGCATGACCTCCGAGGCCCTCCGTCCACGGGATCTACCTAGGCCTCTCCTCCTCTGAGCTGTCCTCCGATCCAGATGATGATGGATCAGAATTGGGTCAGAGCAAGAGCCCGTGAACTCTTGCTCTGAAGAGATCCAAATAGGCAGGCTTGGCCTAAAGAACATGCCAGGACTCCAACAGGTCACATGTCCTCTGTTGCCTGGTCAGCTGGGACACCAAGGCTGCATGGAAAACGCCCATTACCCAAATGGGAAAGGTGAGGTGGCCCTGGATGCTCCCCACTAACTCTCCAAATACACCCACTTTTTAAGGAATCTTTGCTTGTCCCCAGGACATGAACGATACTACTCACTCAGCCATCATTTTTTCAATATCATTGTATTTAGATTACTTATTTTACCAGAACTATAGTAACTCTTTCCAGTAAAAAACTGCTTATTCTTTGACTGTGAAATGAGTTTCAAAATTGCGTACTATACAAAGCACGACAAACCCACTATTCCAGCTGGGTCTTTTCAGACTGCTGTTTGTTCTCTCATTTAATGGAAAATCTAGTATTAGTTTTTATACTTAATGCAGTTGCGCTTGCATCATGGATCTGAGGTATCGTCCTCTTTTAACTACTAATGTCACCTGCCCTAAGATGGCTTCAGATTCCTTCACTCAGAAGCCTTTTCTTCTCCACCTCTTGCTTACCTGTCACGGCCACTGAGACTGAGTTGCTCCATGGGGAAAGGATCTCCCGCCCTGACACCACCGTCCAGGACAGACAACTGTATTCACCAGCGGTTCTTTCTTCAACTATGAGTTGATATTGCCCAGTTTTTGCACAGGTCCTGTTGATTTCCTTAACATCCCTGAAATCTTGCAACCTTCCAGAATAAAATGTGTATCCTGCTACTTCCAGCCCTTCAGGAGCAGAACAGATCAGTCTCACCGGTTCCCCGTGGACGTAAACAGGCTGCTGGGGATCTAGATCAAGGATTGGAGCAGGTGGGGGATCTGGAGGTTTACGGAAGGAGAGAAAAGGGTAAATGAGAGAGGGAATAAATCATAAAGAGGAGAATTGTACAATATCACACAGTAGAAAAGTAATGCTATCTATGGATATACAAAGCATTTCCGTTCTCTGGGTTTAGAGCAAAACTGTAGTTGCTGTTTAGCTGTTATCACAAAAACCTCTGAATTATTCCTATCTCTTAACTGTATCTCCCTGGAAATGCTTCTAACTACAAACTGAAGCTAAAATATAACATCCTGAGACGCTCTTGTGTTTCTTAAAGAGCTACGAGGATTACGATTTTATGTTTTTGCTGAGAAACCTGAGTTTGAATTCCTTTGGTTCCTCCTGGATAGAAATCACCAGTGAGTTGATATTCAGTGTTATCTAGTCAGGGACGTGATGCTGAAACTCCATGGCTGCATAGAAAACACCCATTTACCAGAAGAGAACAATGAGGCTGCCTCACCCCACCCCACCAGTCTTCCAGTCATGCCCCCTTGCTGGTCTTCTGAGCTTGGAACAGCAATGGGGTGACACACCACAGTGTTCCTTGGCTTCAGTTACCTGGAACCCATCCTTCTCACTTCCCCTTTCATTTCTGTCCTTGTTGCTTTATTTGTGAATAAAACTGGCCTTATGGGATCTGTGGGAAAGGACCCTAACTTTAGTTCAGCATGTTATTCTGCAAAAAGCCATGTGTGTTGATAGTGCTCACTCTCTCTCTCTCTTTCTCAGTACAAACAAGACAATTTTAAACAGCTTTTTAAAAAACAAAAGCCCCATGTTTTGTAGTCATGTGTTTGAATGTGGCTCCAAGGGGTTTTTTTCAAGTGGATAATGAAGTGTTGTTTTTTTACTCTGAATGCAGCTGGACATCTGTGACACACCTGCGAGATCTTTGTCTCTTAACCGCGAGCACAGAAGCGTTTTCTTCTCTGCTACGTCCTGGACTGCCTGGCTGACCTGCTTACCTGTCATGGCCACTGAGGCTAACTTGCTCCATGGGGAAAAGATCTTCCGTCCTGACAGAATGATCCAGTATTGACATCTATACTCTCCAGCAGTGTCTTTTTCGACAACCATATTATGTTGCCTCATATTTTCACTGGTCACGTAGATTTTCCGAAATTCGGTTTCATACTGAAGATCTTTGTAATGAACTTGATATTCTGCTAATTGTGGCCATTCAGAAGCAGAACAGATCAGCCTCACTTGCTGCCCTGGGTTGTAAACCGGCTGGTGGGGATCTAGAGAAAGGATTGGAGCAGGTAGGCGATCTGGAGGTTTACGGAAGAAGGAGAGAAAGGGGTAAATGAGGGCGGGAATAAATCATAAATGGGAGACTTGTACAAAACAACATGAAACGAAGTAATGCTTTTTATGGAAATATGACCTATTTCAGCTCTCTGTGCATATAGCAAAACTGTACTTGTTGTTGCTCTTCAGGAGTTTTGTATTTTTCGGAAAAACCTCTGGAAATTTTCTGTCTCTTAGCTGTATCTTCTGGGAGATGCCTCTACAAACTGAAGCTGAAATATAACACTCTGAGACTGTCTCGTGTTCTTTAAGGAGCTACAAGGATTATGGTTTTGTGACTGTGCTGAGAAAATGGAATTATCCCGCACAACAGACTGTGCTTCCCTAGTCTGCCTGGTTTCCTGTCGGTCGGTCCCAGGCACCCAAGGCTGCCACCTGGGGCAGCTTCCTCCTCCTGCCCAAAAGGAACCCTGCCTGTCTCTTCACGTCAGCTGCTACACCCACTCCTCTCCCTGTCGAGGAAGTCTGGAGACCTGGTTCTTCCCCTGCCCGCTGTGGGGAGGAAGGCCTTGTAGGTAAGGAGTAAATAGGGTGGTTCTTCTCACCAAGGATGGAGATCGTAATCTCATTGCTGAGTGAAGAAGATTTGTTCTGTAGTCCTCCATTGTTTCCCTCCATGTAGTGACATGCATATTTTTTCTCCGTTTCTAGATGTCTAATGCAGACTTTCAAGGTATTTCCAGACTGAGTTTTCATGAGGACCCATGCTCCATCAGTTGTAGTCTCATGAAAGTAATATACTGTTTGATTTTGGGGAGGTGAACAAGTCAGTGAGAAACACTGTTCTAGGAGAAAGCTGTTGTATGGCGGGTGGATTGATAGGCTCGGATGGGATGGAGGTGGATCTACAGCTCCCAGCAGCCGCCCTGGGAAAGGAAATTTATGCAATTAGAAATCCTCTGGATCTCCTCCTGCAGCTCAGGCTTTGGAGAAGGCTCTTCATCCCTTTCTGTCCCACGCTCTTCTAGCAGAACCTCCTGCAGGATGCTTCACAGGATTTTAAGGTGAATGAGACCAAGGGCTTATTCTGATCCCCCCAAAAACTGCAAAAGGGACATTATTAAGCCGGACACAGGGGTGAAACCCCTTGTTCCCATGTTTCTGTCCTGCCTCTGTTTCTGCAGGTAACCTGTACCCATCCTGATTAGTGGCCATTGATAGATACTCTTGTCTTCTGTGATAACCTGCAATTATTTATTATCAATCTCTGTCTCTATATCTATCTATCTATCTATCTATCTATCTATCTATCTATCTATCTATCTATCTATCTATCATCTTTTTAACAAACTTAAAAGGGTATAGGAAATATAGTACAGAAAAAAAAGAAAAAACAATATAAGCAATAAAATACGGATGGATGATTGACAAATCTTGAATAACCTGTAAGTCTAAAATATTGTATGGCTAATATATGCTTATACACCATTAACAACAGAGTAGTATATGGCTTTTTGTTATCTAATTTCTAGTCAAAATATTTCTGTATGGAACTGTAAAAATATTTGGCAGAATTGAAATTGATAACAGGAAAAATAGAAGTTAGAAATCATGAACAATACATTAGAAGATATAAACAATACTTTAAAAAAATACTGTATATAATATCTAGCCTTTTTATCAGATTGAAATATAAACTCTAGAACCCAAATTTGGGATGTGGCTCAATTCAATGTATAGAAACATAGTCCAGAAGTTGTTTCCACATAATCCTGAATTATATGTAAGATTTATTTTTCAGATATGAAGTTATTCTAGACATCGAAGCATGTTCCCATAGTTAACCGCTCTTCTATGGAGGAGATCAGAGATCTTTTCCAACAGAAAGCATATATAATTCTTGCAGCTGTTATCAGATTCAATTTCAATTCAGTATATTTTGCTGGAATGTGTGTTTTGGTGAAGATTAATAAAAATATCTCAGATTGAAATGGAATTGCGACTTTCATAATGGGTTCCATTCTGCAATAAATTAATTTCCGTTATTGCTGAGCTTTGCAATATTGCCACTACATATGGGAGAAAGATCCAACCTGTTCATTACATTTCCAGCATTGGGGGAAGAGGAAGCCCTCGTTTGGCAGTCATGGGTGGGTGCAATTATTTTTAAATGATCCAAGGAAATGCCCACCACAATAGCTTACTGCAAGGAATCCCAAGGTTGCTCTGTGACATCTATTTCCCTTTGTCTCTCCTGAATCTCCCACCATCTTTCTTGGATGAGCCCATCGGGTCCTACTCATTGCCTCCTTCAACTGCTAGACTTCAGAGGAAGACCTGAAGAAAGAACAGCCCTGCAGCAGAAACGGAGAAGCGCCTCAGTCATGTATGCACACTTCTCTGGAGAGGCGATGCCATGTATTCTTCATTATTTTTTATTTCGAACCAACTGAGGCCATTACTCAAGCAAGATCCGTGACTCCCTGACAACGGCCAGGTAAACAGCAACTTGTCCTCTTTATTACCTGCAAGGAACAGAATCCAGAAAAGAGCCAAGAAGGTGTCTGAAAGAGAAAAGACGAGAGAAATGTTCATACCTGATGATCCGGCCTCCTAAATTTCCTGCAGACCAAAAAAGGGAAGAACCTAGTGATTGAATTGGTAGCGTGGGATGTGGGAAGCGGTCAGGAAGAAAGGCACAGAAGGGAAGTTGCTCCACAGAGGAGCCTTACCTAAGACATCCATCCTTGCAACGCTGAATCGTGGAGTGCTAAGGGAGTGGAAGTCCCCACCTTCTTGAATCGCCCCCAGAGGAAATGCTGCATGAGAATTTGGAGTGTCTCTGCTAGAGAGATTGAATGTGGCTGGCCACTTTGGAAGGTGTCAAGCTCTGCTTGTGTGATGTCAAACCACCAATGGCTCTCCTTAGTTTTTATTTATTTGTTTAGTCATTCAATCAATTTATATAGCTGCCCATCTCAAATACACGACCCTCGGCGGCTGACAATGGATAAAAAAAACAATAAAAAACATCTTAACCATGTAAAATAAATAACATATGCAGCAGCCGAGATAAAAACCAACCAACACAATTAACATAACCCTGATATGCCCTCAACCTCACAACCAGGGCCCCAGGTAGGCTAACAAGACCAGGCCTTTAGGGCCTTAAAGAAAGCCAGTGGGGTGGGGGGCAAGTCTAAGCTCTGGGGGAAAACAAGAGAAAGGTGAAGAGATGGAGATGCCTTTGTTTGCCCCCACCATTATCTCTCTAAAAGTGACTTGTCGGCCTGACCAAAATGTTCTCAAGAAAACACCTTGCCGGGAGGAACTGGGGAGACTTTCAAAGACTTTTCAGGTTCCTCCCCTCCTCCCAGGGCATTCACAAGATAAAGGGCCCTTTGCACAGCTTCTAGCAGGACAACAGTTTCACATTCTGGTTTGTGGTCCCTGCTTTTCTGCCTTGGCCCTGGGTTTATTTTTGGAAGCCTAGCCACTCCCTCCGTTCATCGGCACATGTTTGTGACAAGGTGAGAGCGAGCAGCTGATGTGCGTATTTTGCAATGCTGCAGAGGGACGGAGCAGGCTTGGCTCTTCAGGGGAAGTGGTCTGGCTGCAAGAGAAGTGACGGGGGGTGGGGGCTGAGACAGTCCTCTGCTCATCAGGGCCTGCTTTGTGGGGAAAAGGATGTGAGTTGGTGACCTCCAGTTGCATTGTGTATTTTCAGTTCTCGTGTCATTTCCTGCTCTAGTAGCGCTGCAGACGCAAAGGAGGAGAGGCTTGCTACTCCTTTTCTCTTCCGTCTGCATGGACCTTGGTTCTGTATTAAACTTTTGCGCTGTATTCCCCCTGCTTCTTGTATTTGAGGAATGCTGTTTGTGTCTCAGATGTCCTTTGGCCGGGCTTTTGCCTAATGTTATGTTGAAAACGTCTTTGGCTGATGGACCATCAGGAGAACAGAGATTGGATGGTGCTGGCTGGAAGGCTATCTCATCCTGCTCGATGAGTGCCTAGCTGAGAGGCAGGGTGTTTCTTGTCGTTAATAAACAGAAGGTCAGTAAGCACGATTAATTGGAGTCCAGGCGAAAAGCCTCTAAACCAGACTGAGCAAATGAATCTCAGCAGAGACAAAAGTCTGGGGAAGGGGCTGTGCACACACCACCTTCAGCATCAAATATGCCATATGTGAAGCCTCCAGAGTGGCAGAAGGGATGTGACCATCTTTATTCTCTATGCAGAATAGTTTCATTAACGCACACTCATATCCCTCTTATACAGTTCATGGGAATAGAGTGCCATGAACCAAGAAAATCTGGGAACCTCCGCGTTAGAGTTCAGTAATATAAACTGGGCATTAACAGATCACCGGCCTAGGCTGGTAACGGGGTTTCTGTGCAACAGAAGGCACCACTAATCAATTATGGCTTATTGTCAAAATAGTACTGTAATCAGAACTGCCAATAAAATGCAATAGCTTGTATTGTTAGAGCCAATTCTTGGGTTTGGGAGATCTAAGTAGATCTCTGTGATGGCCTCTTCCATCTACCCTGACAGTAGGAGCTATAATCTAAAGGTTCTTACAGCTGCCATTTCTATTTCTCACCTTACATAGTACAGTATTTAATCTTAGATACAGTTTTAAAAGATGATATTTTACTGGTGGAATATCCTTCCCATGCTGCCACAGTGAAGAAGAATGGCCCCTGTGCGCCAGCAAGAGAAAAATTTCTTCTTTTAACTTGCATGCACAACATCCTCATTTTAGGGACGGGCTATCCTTTGCCAGTCCTCCTATCTCTCCTAGCTGTGGCTTACAGTATTTACTTTGAAGGAAAAAAAGAAAAAAAAACTTTTTTGTGGCTTCAGATGATAGTGCAAGCTTTTTTTTTTTTTTTAAACTTTGTCAGTCTTGACTCTTGGTGATTACTTGGACAAGTCCTTTTAGCAGTCTTAGCAACACTTTTTGGAAGTGGTTTGCCATTGCCTTCTTCCTAGAGCTGATTGAGAGTGACTGGCCCAAATTCACCGAAGTGGCTTATATTGCTGCATTGTGTCAATGTGTCAAAACTGTGAAATTATTAAATATACACATAGGAATTAAATTGAATATTAATAACATCATATTGAATCAAATTTAGCTTTTGATCTGACCATGCTGATTTCTTGGTTTTGGCCCTACCAACTTTTGGAAATTCTCCTGACATCCCACTCAAAGACCTAAAGGGCTGCACACTTCTCTTGTGTACAAGAGGACGCTTCAGTCTAAAATACAGTAAAAACAGTAAAATAAATGAATAAGTAAGTAAATGCAGTAAAATACAGTAGGATACTGCACTCTCAAAGATAAGACACTAAGGAAAATACTAAGAACTCAAACACATCCTTTGCACAGGTATCTGTTCTAATACCAGTAAAGAGAGTCTCCCCTGACAAAGATTAGAGCTTCGTGGCTCCCTCTTCCCACGCTTGAGAGGCCACTGGAAGCATCACTGCCCCATGAAAAGCTTACTTGCGGTCAAGGATGGCGTAAGGCACAAAAGTGCCTTTGGGAAAAGAGCTGCCAAAAGAAAAGAGAGTATCAGCATAAAATAATTTGGTTGTGCTGGCAACGAGATTTCAAACTACGTCTATTCACTCCCAAAATACAGGTGGAAGATTGTATGAGGAAATAAACTTGCTTTTTCCCCTGTGGTAACAGAGCAGAGGGTTCTGTGAAGAGGAATTTACCTCACAAACAAGATGGCAGGAGAAAGGATTAGAGGCAGTAAAAAAGTCTGAGGGAAAAAGTACTTTAAAAAAGGCCTGAAAAAGCTAGAAACAGAACAAGAAGTGTATAGGAGATGAAAAAGACCAAAAAAGACAGTGATAAAAATGTAAAAAGGCAGATTCTGAACCGTGGGCAAAATTGTCATAACAAAGAAATGTGAGGCACGGAAGATTCAGGCGGAGGGAACCATTGTGGAAGCTACGTGGCTCTCGGTTACTAAGAGCTGAGGAAAGAAGAAACTATATAACCCTAAAAACGAGAGAGGAAGTAAAAGGAAGATGGTTAAAATAAAAAATAATGGTCACACGTTAATAGAAATTGAAATGGCTCTCAGACATTGGGCAGTGGGTGAAGGAATGCGAGGAAAAGAGAAATTAGGATGGGGGAGTCAGTGTGGAAATATAGGAAGGTTTCTGCCTAAAAACAGAGTTTTCATTTCATGAAAAGAAACGAAATGAAACTCCAAATCAGCCATGTTTTGGCTCTTTAGACATACTAAGGAGAGAGAACAGGCGGAGGGGAATGGAGAGGAAAGAAAGGAAAATGCGAGAGAATCAGAAGCCCCGAAATTTCAGAGGGAGGTGGAAGAGAAGAGGGGCCATTTCAGGTGGAGCTGAGAGACGAACTGAAAACATTTTCGGTTAAAGATCACAGTTATTTCTCCAGACTTTGCCTGGGGGAGATCCCCACACACTTCTCTGCTAACTTTGGAGAAAGCTGCTAAAAATGGGGTGCAGGAGAGGGTGACTTGGTGAAACTCGTCCCAGGTTTGGGGATGAAAGGAGACTCAGCAGAGACTTCCAATGCCTGTTCGAAGAACAAGCTGTAACATATGTTGCCTTTAAACCAACTGTATGCCAAAGTTTAAAATGGGATTCTTTTAAAGAAAAAAAAATCTTAGATTTTTGTACCCAAGAGCAGGGAAGTCTTGGGTGGATTTTTCCCCCCTTGATGCAGTTACTGAAGACCCCATGAAATCAAGGCCCCTGGTCTAGAGAAACTGGTAGTGTGGTTAGGTCTGAATGAACTTCATTTTCAGCTCCCCTGTGAGGTAAAAATGAAAATAAGAATTGGAGGGTCAGCTAGAATTAAGAGAAGAGCTGGGAGGGTTGATGAATAGAACAGTGCAGGGTTAGGAACAGTCATCTTCCTGATCTTAAAAACAAAAAGAGTTGTTCTTTGGTCCGGTCTGAGGGACCTGGATAGCCAGAGAGAAAAAACATTTGCTCTGAAAAGGCAGGAAGTTGAGATACTTTTCAAAAGAAAAGAGATGCAGAGGTGACATGCGGGATTGTGGCCCAAAGAGACCCATGGAGGCTGGTGGTGGCCGGAATCACCACATGAAGGTCCCCCAAACTGCAAACTCTTCATTTAGTTGGAGAACGTTCATTTTGGGTTTTGTCATAATGCTGGGTTTGTTATAGAAGTGTTGTGGTTGTACTTGTAAAATGCTTAGATTAAAACAGAAGAAAGAAATGAATGAATAGATGAATAGGGCAGTGGCTTCTGGCCTGCTCTGTCTCCCTTTCTCTAACCTGCCCTCTGGGTTGGAAGAGCATCTGGTGGTGGTGGTGGCCTTCAGCCCTTCCCCACCACAGAGATTCAATCATGGTCTGTCTCTTCCTCCCTTCCTTCCTTCCTTCCTTCCTTCCTTCCTCCCGCCTTCCTTCCTTCCTTCCTTCCTTCCTTCCTTCCTTCCTTCCTTCCTTCCTTCCTTCCTTCCTTCCTTCCGCTATTTCTCATGATTTTGCATGATGGCATCTTAATCCCCTCAGCTCTGAGCAGCCATTTGCTCTCATGAGAACTTCTTTGCAGCCCATCTAGCACCATAAAAGTGAAGGGCTTTTATGAAATGAAAATGAAAATGTGAAATGGCAGGTTTCCATCTCCCAAATCTTCTCAAGCCGGTTTAAAATCAATGTCAGATGGATCCAGGTTGTTCTGATTACTTGCAAATTTTGGAGAGCAAGATGAACCAGAGGGTTGTTCACATGTTTTCCCAGAATCCCCAGTTGGTCAATGTTTGCTTCTTCTAGCC